TTGGAGGCCTGTAGCTAGCGGTGTTCCCCAGGGGTCAGTACCGGGTCCACTCTTGTTCAACTGATTCATCAATGACCTGGATGAAGGGACAGTGTACCCTCTCAGCAAGTTTGCTGACGATACAAAACTGGGAGGAGTGGCTGATACACCAGAAGGCTGTGCTGCCATTCCGTGAGAACCTGGACGGGCTAGAGAGCTGGGCGGAGAGGAACCTAATGAAGTTCAGCAAAGGCAAGTGTAGGGTCCTGCACCTAGGGCGGAAGAACCCCACGCACCAGTACAGGTTAGGGGCTGACCTGCTAGAAAGCAGCTCTGCGGAGAAGGACCTGGGAGTCCTGGTGGACACACTAACCATGCTCCAGCAGTGTGCCCTTGCGGCCAAGGCGGCCAATGGTATCATGGGGCTCATTAGGAGGAGGGTGGCCAGCAGGTTGAGGGAGGTTAGCCTCCCCCTCTACTCTGCCCTGGTGAGGCCACAGCTGGAGTACTGGGTCCAGGTCTGGGCTCCCCGGTTCAAGAAAGAGAAGGAACTACTGGAGAGAGGCCAGCGGAGGGCTACGAAGATGATTAGGGGACTGGAGCATCTCTCTTATGAGGAAAGGCTGAGACAGCTGGGTCTGTTTAGCATGGAGGAGACTGAGAAAGGATCTTATCAACGCTTACAAATGTCTTAAGGGCAGGTGTCAGGAGGATGAGGCCAGACTCTTTTCAGTGGTGGTCAGCAACAGGGTAAGAGGCAACAAGCACAAATTGAAACACAGGAAGTTACATCTGAATATGAGGAAAAACTTCGTTACTTTGAGGGTGACAAAGCATTAGAACAGGCTGCCCAGAGATGTCATAGAGTCTCCTTCTCTGGAGACATTCAAAACCCACCTGGACATGATCCTGTGCAGCCTGCTCTAGGTGAACCTGCTTTAGCAGGAGGGTTGGAGTAGATGATCTCCAGAGGTCCCTTCCAACCCCAACCATTCTGTGATTCTGTGATAATTAACCCATTTCCATAAAAATATTCTGCAAAAATCTGTATTACAATGAAGTTAGTATTTCCAAAGTCATCATCTCCAAATTACTTAATATGTAATATAATATCACTACAGTACTAGTCTTCACAGAGTTTAGGGAACAACAAATATATATAGCTATATATATTTCTCTCACCACTCAAGATGAAAAGTAAAGACGGACACAAAGATGGGGTGAATTAGTGTGACTCCATGGAATTCAATGCAGTTTCACCTGGTTTTGATACTGAAAGACACCCTCTCTATAGAAATATACATTTGCACTCCAACTATATTTCTCAGAGATCACCATGGAGATATGCAATGGAAGTTAACGTGATCATCATCTCTATAAAACAGATTCTACACGGAGTAAAAAAGGACATAAGATATATCTTCCCCAAAAGGATCAGTCCAAATTTTTATATACTGTTTCTTTGTGAAAGATCCAGGCTCAACTAAAGAAGATCGGGAAACATTTTTGACCAGTTTAAAATAGTCCTTCTAAAAAAAAGTTATGACCATTGATAGAACAGACCTGAAAATCTGTAGGAAAGCCAACTGCATTGCTTTCATATGTTCACCTCTACTAATATGTCATCCTCTGGCATAAGAGAATTCATTCTCCTTGTCCCCTCCAAAATCTACACTGTATATTCCATACATCCATTTCATTATTGTGCACAGCACTAAGCCCAGAATAATTAAAATGCAGGCATGTTAGTAACACCATTCATTTAACATAGCCATATTTAACTCTATGAGGGTTCAACTTAATTTACCTCTTAAATAAGGCCTGAATTCTAAAAAGATATTGGAATATATCAATGAATTGGGACTCTCTGCCAGGAAATTACTTCACTGCTCAAACATACATTTTCTGAAACTTTCTGTAACTTTGCACAAGCTTTATTTAAGGGGATTACACTTTGGAGGCTTAACTATTGCTGGTTTAAAAAAAATCCACTATAAATCGCTAAAACTTAGTAAAACCATTTTGAAAATACCAACTGAAAAGTTGTAGTCAAAAAAACCCCACTAATTCAATAATCGAACCTCATTTTAGCCTTCTCCCTTAATTTTATTCTGTCTGTATACTTTGGGGTATGGTTTGTTTACTTCTTTCATTACACAGAAAACAGCTGCATAATCAGTCACTGAACTGATTGCAAGAAAATTGAGCTGATAACCTTGTTATATATCATCTGTAGTTAATAACTTATAAATTTATTAAAATTATATTTTTTACATATATGAATAAAAGTAAAAAACAAAAACAACTGGAGTCTGCAGTGTGTGCTAGCAATCATTGCGGGTGGGTAAACTGACAACATGTAACTGCATATTAAGACAAATGTAGAATTTAGACAAAGTATTCCATCTCTTTTCAGATGTATACTTTTAAACCTCAGGAACTGTTTTCAGTAGATGTCATGCCTTTTAACTTGAAAAAAGATAAGCGCAAATAAGCTCCCAATTGTCTCCCCAATATGTAA